TGTGTGTGTGTGTGTGTGTGTGTGTGTGTGTAACTGAGGATTAAACTCAGGCCCTTGCACTTGCCAGGGAGAAGTGCTTATTCTACTGATCCATCTCCCCGGCCCCCAGATATATCATGATCAAGTAGGTTTCATCCCAGAGATGCAAGGATGGTTCAACATATGCAAATGAATAAATGTAGCACATCATATAAATAAGAACAAAGTGAAAAATCATATGATCAAAAAAATTTAAAAAACAAATTATATGATCATATCAATAGATACAGAAAAGGCTTTGAACAAAATTCAACATCCCTTCATGAAAAAAACCTTGAAGAAAATAGATATAGAAAGACCACCCTTTCCGGCAGTGAGGACCTCCTCACAAGAACATGATTCTTGCAAAAGATCTCCTTCATCCCTCTCCAGAGGAGAAGAGGAAGCACAAGAAGAAGTGCCTGGTGCAGAGCCCCAATTCCTACTTCATGGACATGAAGCGCCCAGGATGCTAAAAAATCACCACAGGTTTAGCCATGCGCAGATGGTAGTTCTGTGTGTTGGCTGCTCCACTGTCCTGTGCCAGCCTACAGGAGGGAAAGCAAGGCTCACAGAAGGATGTTCCTTCAGGAGGAAGCAGTACTAACAGTACCTTCAATCAAGATGAGTAGGATCAATAAAACCATGGGGAAAAAAAAAAAAGATGAGTAGGAAGCCATCCCAATAAACACATTTTGGATATATATAAAAAAGGGGGGGGGAAGGGAGATGGTTCACTTGCTTCCCTGGCAAGTGCAAGGGCCTAAATTCAATCCCCGGTTCTGCCAAAAAAAAAAAAAAAAAAAAAAGATAAAGAAGGACCAGATCTGAATATAATAAGGGCTTATGACAACCAATACCCAGCTAAATGGAGAAAAATACTAAATGGAGAAAAATTAAACTTTCATGCTAAAATTAGGAATAATACAAGGATGACCATTATCACCTCTTCTATTCAACACAGTACTTGAAACATTAGCTAGAGCATTCAAGCAAGAGGAAGAAATAAAAGTGATACATCTAGAAAAGGAAGTACTCGAATTATCATTATTTGCAGATGACATGATTGATACTCTACACAGAATACCCAAAGAACTCCACCTAAAACCTCTTAGAATAAACAACATCAGCAAAATAGGAGCATACTAGATCAACACACTGCCTGGCATGGTGGCATAGGATTACATGCCTGTAATCCTAGCATTTGGGAGGCTGAGGCAGGAGGATCAGGATCATTGCCAGTTTTTTGGGTTTTTTGTTTTTTTTTTTGGCAGAACCGGAGATTGAACTCAGGCCCTTGTGCTTGCCAGGCAAGCACTTATTCTATTGAGACATCTCCCTGGACCCCATTGCCAGTTTCTGAGATCAGCCTGTGCTACAAAGTGAGCTCGAGGCCAGCCTGAACTGCATAGCTAGACCCTGTCTCCAAAAGACAGACACAGACAGACAGACAGACAAAACAAACAAACCAGAATCAGTATTGTAGCTGAGCTGTTAACATACTCTAAGCGGTTATCTGGTCAGTGTGTATATTCTTCTGTATCTTTTAAAGCAGTTCTAAAAATCTTTACAGAGGGGCCGGGGAGATGGCTCAGTGCAAGGGCCTGAGTTCAATCCTCGGTTCCGAAAAAAAAAAAAAAAAAATCTTTACAGAGGAAAAAAAGTTCTACACACAAAAATCATTAGCATTTGTGTATACCAATAATTAACGGGATAAGAAAATTATGAAAATAATACCATTCACAGTCGCTTCAAGAAAATAGCTAGGGGGTCAGCCAGATAGCTCAGCAGGATTTGATCCCCGGCTTGCCGTGCTGGCCCTGCCCCTAGGGCACGCTGAGATGGCGATTGAGACTGGGCATGGTGGCTGTAATCCCAGCATCTGGGAGGCTGAAAACAGGAGGATCACTACGAGTTCAATCTGTGTAGAGAGACTCTGTAGCCCCTGTACTAAATATATTAAAAAAAAA